GAGCTCTTCTTGCATGGCAATTATCCAGTCATTGTCTTGCAGAGCTTCTTCCACAGAAGTTGGTTCAATAACTGACACCAAACCAAATAATGACGCTTCAGATGATCTGAGGTACGATCTTGTTCTTATAAGGTCATCCTTCTTTCCAATGATCACATCCTTTGGGTAAGAGGCCTTGATTCTGGAAGATGATCCTCTAACATTTGATTCTTCAGAAGTATTTAAGTTTTCCATTTGAGTAGTCAAAGGAGTTGCATCTGGCGTTGCTTCTGGCTCTTTCACTTGAACCTTTTCTGCCTCTGAGCCTCCAGAGTCTGTGAGAATTACTTCTCTATCTGCAGAACTTTCAAACTGCTTTGGCTTTTGAATTCCAAGCTTATCATCAAATCTAACATGTATAGATTCATCCACAATCCGTGTTTCAGTATTGTATACTCTGTAGCCTTTAGAGCGTTCAGAATAGCCAAACATGAAACACTTATGTGCTTTAGAATCAAACTTGTTTAGATTCTCTTTAGTGTTCAACATATAACATATACATCCAAAAGGATGAAAATAAGCAATGTTGGGTTTTCTGTTCCTCCACAATTCATAGGGAGTCTTTTCCAGAAGAGGTCTTACAGACACTCTGTTCTGAATATAACAAGCTGTGTTTATTGCTTCTGCCCAAAAATGCTTTACCAGATTAGTCTCGTTGATCATGGTTCTGGCCATTTCTTGCAAAGTTCTATTTTTCCTCTCTACAACTCCATTCTGTTGTGGAGTTCTAGGACAGGAGAAATCATGAGCAATGCCATTTTCATTAAAGTATTTTTCAAAATATTTATTTTCAAATTCTCCACTATGATCACTTCCGACTTTAAAAATTTTAAAATCTTTTTCATTCTGGACTTGTTTGCAGAAGTCAAAGAACACAGAATGTGACTCATCCTTGTGCTTTAGGAATTTCACCCATGTCCATCTGCTATAGTCATCAACAATGACTAATCCATACTTCTTGCCTCTGATGGATGCAGTTTTCACTGGTCCAAATAGATCAATGTGAAGTAACTCTAATGGTCTTGAAGTTGAAACAACATTCTTAGTTTTAAAAGAAGATTTTGAAAATTTTCCTTTTTGACATGCTTCACAAAGAGCATCTGAGTTGAACTTCAGCTTAGGAAGTCCTCTGACCAGATTGAGTTTATTAATCTGAGTTATACGTCTCATATTAATATGCCTCAATCTTCTGTGCCAGACCCATTGCTCATCATTAACAGACATAAGGCATTTAACATTTTGAACCTTAAGTTCAGAAAGATTGATTTTAAAAATGTTGTTCTTCCTCTTTCCATTAAATAGGATTGAGCCATCCTTCTTACTAACAGCCTTGCAACATTTTTGATTAAAGATTATGTCATAACCATTGTCACTTAATTGACTTATGGACAATAGATTATGCTTTAATCCTTCTACAAGTAAAACATTAGATATAGAGGGAAGGTTACCATTGCCAATAGTACCAGAGCCAATAATCTTGCCCTTCTGATTCCCTCCAAACTTGACGTCTCCTCTAGATTTAAGCTCCAGGCTTTGGAACATAAACCTTTCTCCCGTCATGTGACGTGAGCAGCCAGAGTCCAGGTACCATGACTGGCGTCTTGACTTTGCTGCTAAATACATCTGCAACAGGTATTATCTTATCCTTAGGTACCCAGATCTTTTTGGGTCCTTTTGGGTTAGTTACCTTAAAAGTTTGTCTGAACTTCTGTCTTTTTACAACAGGTTTGTTCTGACTAACTTTTGGTTTAAACACAGGAACATTCTGATCAGAACGTGTGTGTTTAATATCATTCAGATGACCAAACTTAAAATGAGAATATAAGGGAGTCTTCTTAATGATAACTTTATCAACACGCATTGGATTTAAATCCTTTCCAGAGGAAGATTCATATCCAATTCCTTTCTTGTTGTTTATGCTAACTCCATAGATCATTGAAGCCATCTTGCTTTTATCTATGCTTTTAGCCATAAACTTCTGAAAACTAAAGTCATATTATTCTAAAATATTTTTGCATTTTGACTTAGTTTCAGATTCATAGTCTTGTTGAGCTTTTTCAAAATTGTTTTTCATTTTCAAATTATTTTCTTTGAGCTCAGCAACTTCTGACTTTAACAGACTATTCTCAGATTTAAGATTGCATTTAAGCTTCTTGCATTTGAGCTTAATCTGGTTATAGTTATTCAAGACTTCTGATAAAACTTTAATAAGTTCTTCCCTAGAGAGATCACAAAGTACCTCTTCTGAGTCAGATTCAGAATCAGATTCAGATCCAGATGATCCTTCATCCTGATCTTCCACGTCTGCCATCAAAGCCATGTTGGCGCATTCTTCTTCAGATTATGATGAAGATTCAGATTCATCTGAATCATCCCAGGTTGCCATTAGAACCTTCTTCTTTTTGTCAAACTTCCTCTTTGGCTTTTCCTTTAGAAGCTTTGGACATTCATTCTTGTAATGTCCAGGTTCCTTGAATTCATAGCAAACAACCTCCTTCTTTCCAGATCTTTTGTGTCCAGAGGACTCTTTGCGTTGATCTGGCTTCTTGAAGTTCTTGAACTTCCTCTGTTTGTGCTTCCAGAGTTTGTTGATTCTTCTGGACAGTAAGGACAGTTCATCTTCTTCTTCAGAAGAAGACTCTTCATAACTTTCTTCTAACACCTGCAATGCTTTAACAGATTTGTTAGATTTTAAAGCAATTGACTTACCTTTCTTTTGAGGCTCGTCTTCTTCAAGTTCAATTTCATGGCTCCTCAGAGAGCTGATTAGTTCCTCCAATGTGATCTTGTTCAGATCCTTAGCTAGCTTCAGAGCAGTGACCATTGGTCTCCATCTAATGGGAAAGCTTCTGATGATCTTCTTCACATGATCAGCAGTTGAATAGCCTTTGCCCAGCACTTTTAACCCAGCTGTGAGGATCTGGAATCTAGAGAACATAGCTTCTATAGATTCAGATTCTTCCATTTTAAAGGCTTCATACTTCTGGATCAGCGCCAGAGCCTTGGTCTCTTTAACTTGTGAGTTCCCTTCATGTGTCATCTTTAAAGACTCAAACAAATCAAATGTAGTTTCTCTGTTGGTAATCTTCTCATACTCAGTATGAGATATATCATTTAATAAGATTGTTCTAGCTTTATGATGATTTCTAAACTCCTTCTTCTGGGCTTCAGTCATAGATTTTCTATCAATTTTCTTGCCATCCCCATCAGTGGGGTGAACATAACCATCAATGACTAAGTCCCATAGATCAACATCATAACCAAGGAAGAAACTCTCTATTCTGTCCTTCCAATAGTCAAACTTCTCCCCATCAAACATAGGGGGTTTTGTGCTGATTCTATCCCTTTCTTCATATCTGTTGTTGCTATTAGATGTTGAAGCTTCAGCCATAATATCGACCAAAGAATATCAAGAGTTTTCTCACTGGATCTTTTTTGTCACTGTGAGGTGATAGCACACAGAGAACTGGAGCTCTGATGCCAACTGAAGGTGAGAAAATACTTAGAAGGGGGTTGAATAAGGATTTTGAAAATATTATGGAAATAAAAGCACAATGATTTTTATCCTGGTTCGTTGAACTCAACTAATCCAATCCACCCTATCAAGAGTGATTTGCCTTTCTCCACAAGGACTTAATCCACTATAATCAAACTGATTACAATATCAAACACTAAGAACAATTGTTCTTAGTCTTCTTAAGAACTATTGACCACAACTTGGTCTTCTCAAGGAACTTTTACAATCAAATGTAAACTAAACAAGTGTTTGAATGCTTCTAAGAAAGTTGTATCACAACTGTGATTTACACTTAAGTTTAAGAACTTATGAAAACTATTTAGCAAAGAATAATAATTTGTATGAGAGCTTTGAGAGAGTTTTCAAATGAATTTGTTCAATATTCGTCAACTGTAGAATGTTGTTGAAGGCTTGCTTTTATAGGCAGAGAACTCCAAGACGTTGCAAGCTTGAATACCGTGTACTGCAAAGTAGCTGTAGCCTTTTTGTCTTCACATCACTTGACCTTTCCTAAAAGTAGAACGTTAAGAGAAATCCTTTTTGCCCGAGTTCTTGTGTCTAGCAAAAAAGAGGAAAGAGTTATTTGGCATACCCAACAGATATAACTTCAAATAATCTTCTTCAACAAGTTTCTAATTCACAGCAATTAACATCAGAGCCTTGAGGGATCAGAGTCTTGATGTCTTCAGAGTTTGTTGTATCAGAGTATTGCAGCAAGTGTGCTTCAGCGTGAAATTAATCAGAGCAGAGTTTAGAGATCATATTCTCAGTACATGCAGCGAACAGTACTATCAGAGTCTTCTGAAAAAACAGTGCTAGAAACTCTTCATACAAAGTCTCCAGTCTATGCTTTAGATGCTTTTGTAGCTTCTGCTTCAGATCCTTCTGTAGGCAGCGCTCAGATTCTTCTATAGGCAACACTCAGAGTCTTCTAAGAGATGATTCTGACGCTTCATAGCCTTGCGTAGTTCAACGTTCAGATCCATTTTTGCTTTCAGAAGAATATTAACTTTAATATCTGCAGCAAAAATACTTGAACAAATTTAGAGTATATAATTTCTTAATACAAAATTTCATAAGTGTTATCATCAAAACATAGAGATATAACTAAGAACCAATCTATGTTCTAACACTTTTCCCATTTCATTCAAATTGCATGTTGTCTTCTACCTACCCAAGCCTGAGATTCGTGCTTCAAAAGCAGTCAACACAAGTGGAGCATTCACTGTGTTGCTCGTTCTTCAAAAAGGTACGATATGTTCTTTTGTTTACTTTACTTTAAAAAGGTACGATTTGCAGTGGTCCCAACCAACACCATGTGTGTTAGTTTGACATTTATTAACATACTTTATTGCAGTAAGATTATTTAACTTTCATCGTGGTAATATCTGTTATAGCCCAGTAACCCTAGTTTAACCATTAGGTATTTTTGCAATTTTAGAACATGGGCGTATTCACTGTGATCTTCCATCACGAGGGTAACATTTTGCATGATAAGTTCACATTTTATAGGGGGGATGATACGGTCGTGGAAGGTCAAAATTCTGACACTTGGAGTTTTTTTGAGGCTGCAAGTTTAATTAAGGATTGGGGATATGATGGATTTAGGTTGTGGACAAAATTCCCAGGGATTGATGAAGGGCTTCTTCATGTCATTGATGATGTACTAGCTTAACCAATTTCCAAACACAACATTGATAACAAAGTTGATGGCCATATATGGGTTGAGCATGAAATTAAAGATACGATGGGCAAGGTTATAAGTCATACTGTTGTTCAATTCAATGAAGGTAGTGATGATGGTTATAGTAGTGATGATGAAGTTAAAGGCATTAGGTTTGATGATAGTGAAGAAGAAAGAAAGAGGGAAAATAATGAAGGCTTTGTGAATTTTATGGTGAAAAAACTATCTAGTGGTACAAGAGTTGATGTTAGTGGCAAGTCTCTAAGGTACAAAGTAAGCGCTAAAAAAATCAAGAGAAGCAAGGTGGTCACTCTAAGCTAAATTTAATTGTGCCTGCAAAAATACTGGGCTCTAGTTCTAGAAGGTTACCCAATAATATACCAACAGAAATTAGGGATGATGGAAGTGAAGAATTAGATAGTTTTGATTCTGATGGCAGTAGTGATGAAAATCTCCCTAAGTATGAGCAGTTCAGAAGTGAGTTGATGAACAAAGATTTTCAGTTCAAACTTGGCATGAAATTCACCTCATTAAGTGAATTTAAAGATGTTATAAGAAAGTGGTTTGATCTTAATGGTAGGGAGACAAATTTTGTAAAGAATGAAATCTATAGGGTTAGGGTAGAATGTAGGGGAAAATGTGGTTTTTTAGCATTATGTAGTAAATTGGGTGACAGGCACACCTACCAATTAAAAACATGGGTGGCGACACACACATGTGCTATGGTTTTAGATAACAGATCTGCCAATTCCAAGCGGGTTTCCAAATTTGTGGTTGAGATAAGAAAGTCCATGGATAAGGTGAAAGTCTTTGAGATTATATATGAGCTAAGGAAAAAGTATTGTGTTGGCATCACCAAAGGTAAGGCATGGATGGCTAAGAGGTTGATGAAGTGGTTGAAGGGGATGCAGTAAAGATATATTCCTTATTACGGAGCTATGCTGTAGAGTTAAAAAAGCAATGTGTGAGGAACACAATTAAGATCAACATGGAGAGGCCAATTTCAAGTCTTCCACCAAGATTTGAGAGATTCTATTTCTGTTTTAATGGATGCAAAAAAAAGGTTTATTAAAGGTTGTAGACCTTTCATTGAAGTTGATGGGTGCCACCTCAAAACAAAGTATGATGAACAGTTGTTGGTTGCTGTAGCAAGAGATCCAAATAATCAGTATTACCCTTTAGCATTTGGTGTAATTAAGACTGAGACAAAAGATAGTTGGAAATGGTTTTTAGAGTTACTTCTTCAAGATATTGGTGTAGAAAGAATACATGTTTTCATATCAGACTAACAAAAGGTACTTTTATATTATTTCATTCAAATGTTGTTTCATTTACTTTTGTTGTATTATACCTTCATCTAACTGTTGATTCTATGAATTTTGTTGTTGGGACAGGTAAGTGTATTTGAAGAAATGTTTGAACAAATTGAACACATGATATGTCTTAGACACCTGTATGCTAATTCCAAGAAGAAGTTTGGAGGTGGAGATGCAATAAAAGACTTACTCATGAGAGCTGCAAAAGCTACTTATTACCAAGCATGGGAGAAGAAGATGACTAGGCTAAAGCAACTAGACAAGAAGGCATGAGAATAGATGATGGGAGTGCCTACAAAACTATGGTGTAAGCATTCTTTTAGCTATTACCCAAAATGTGATGTATTAATGAACAATCTTAGTGAGTCTTTTAATAGCATTATTTTACAAGCTAGGGATAAGTTAACCCTCAAAATGTGTGAGTGGATTAAGAACTATATAATGAATAAGATTCCTACAAATTTATTTAAACTAGATAAATGGAAACATAATGTTATGCCAATACCTAGAAAGAGACTAGATAAGGAGGTGATGTTGAGTGGTCAGTGGCTGCCAACATGGAGTACAAGTGAGGTTTGGCTAGTTCATCATCCATTTAATAGGCTACAATTTGTTATGGATATTGGATAAAAACTTGCTCATGTTGCTTTTAAGAACTAGTTGGTATACCTTGCCAACATGCTGTGGCTACAATGCAGTATCATAGTCTTAATCTATAATTGTACATTAATGACTACTACAAGAGGGAGGCATATAAATTGTGTTATGAGAACAATTTTAGACCAATCGATGGGAAGGACATATGGCCAACTGTGGAAGTTGAAGAAATGTTACCCCTAATGTTTAAGAAGGGTCCAGATAGGCCAAAAAAATTAAGCTGGAGGGAGCATGATGAAACAAGCTCAAGGATGAGAAGGCTTGGTGTGGCTTATAGGTGCACAAAGTGTGATAAATTTGGACACGTTTCAAGGAAATGCCAAAGTACAGTACAAGACACTAATGCATTGAAGAGAAATGTATAGTATATTATCATTGTCATTCTTGGTTTATTATTTTTGTCTATGTGCAGAGAAAAACACACAGAACCAAGGGTGAGACCTCAAAAAATAACAAAACAGTTGAACCAACTGTAGAGGATGAACCTATTAAAATTGTTGAACCTAATCTCACTTCTGAACCTAATGAAACTGCTGAACCAACTATAGAGGATCCTTTCTATGTCAAGAAATTGATGACATAATTGAAGACCTATTTGCTTCTCAGTTGCTTCCTACTAAAGTTTCTTCTCAACCACAAGAAACTCAACAGTCTCAACTAATTAATCTTACACCAAAAAAGAAGAAAATTGGAAAGTTGAATATATCTAAGAAGAAAACACAAGCACTTACGAGGAGTATTGAAAGGCTAAAAAGTATCTTCAGGCAAGACAAATGCTATGAACTAGTTTCAATTGTTGATGCACCTTTGGAAATTGAGGATACACATGTTGATGATACACTTGTTACTGCTACTGGCCAAGAAGACCCCAAACTAGGGACATGTGTGCGCATGATAAAATTATGGGATTAGATATATAAGAAATTGTCCTAGTAATGTGTATTCTCATTATGTCAAGATAGTTGTCATTTTGTATGTTGTAATGTCATTTTGAAGGTTGTACTGTCTTTATGTTTTGTAAGTTGGAACAATATGTTATTTTGTTTTGTAAGTTGGAGCAACAAGGTTGCACTGTCATTTTGTTTTGTGAGTTGTAATGACATTATGCCTGTGGAAGCTTAACTAAATATGGAAGTACTATTTGGAACATCTATTTTGTTTTGTAAGCATAACCTTTGTTGTTATTCAATTCACATCAACCATGTTGTTAACATAGTTGTTCGAATTTTACAGTGTAAAGGGTTTTTTTTGTTATCGTCTCCACAAGGATTGTTCTGATATGAGATGCTTTCCGTTCAATTCTAAAGTTTGATTAACAAAGTATATCAAAAGTAATTTTCATCTACCCTAACTAATATGTATTCTCTTAATCTTGCATGTGAAGTCGGGTCCGATTAATATCATTGTGAATTCTCTCAATACTGTCTATGCCTAAAGCGGTGTCGTGAGAAATTCCGTATTCATCGATACACGATCTCTCCATATAAAAACCAATATAGTAAGCTTTAAATTCAACACAAAGCAAATATCAACCATAAAGCGATCTCTCCAATCTATAGATTGATAAATGAATACTTTAGGTCAAGTTCCATAAAATCTATGTCTAGAGTTTCACAAAACAAGAATGAATCATTAAGAACAAAAATATTCATCATATATTAATCACACTTGTTCACATACAAGGTCAATCAAAAGAAATACATAAAGTTAAGGTAGGCTACCTCTACCTTTGATACAAAGGATATTAGCTACCCATAACCATGGTAGATTGCTTTACACATCTTGAGAGAAGATGAATGAGCATCCACGTCAAAGAATCGAACTTGGATGCGAATCCAGCTTCTATTTGCAAAATATCACTTTTTGGTGAAGAAATGCATAAAATATAGGTTTCTATGTGAAAATGGGGTTATGATCCCCAAAAAGTGTGAAAAATACATATATAGTACTTCCAAAATATGTCAAGTTCGCGCAGCGAACACTTTCTTCGCCCAGGGAAGACCACTTTATGGCACCTAAAGTGCCCCTGAATAGTTAAACCGCCATTGCGGAAATATATAAGTTCTCCTAGCGAACACTTCTTCGCTACAAGTTCGCACAACGAACTTACGACCCTTTTCTTACCGCCTCTAATCTGGGATGGTTCGCTAGGGTTTCGCCAGAAGCTTGCACAACGAACATTCGCTGGCACCTCGCTGTTGTTCGCATAGTGAACATGCTGAATCTTCTTCTTTTCTTTAACTTCTTTGTCAATTCACTTGTGTCTTGATCTTTGATGTTTTATGCCTTAATCATGCACAATAACACACATATCAAAGAAACCAAGGTAGTTGCAACATAATCGAAGAATAGCATTGAAACATGGAATAAATCCATTGCAACATGACAAATGAGTTGAAAAATGCCAAGAAATATGGATAAAAATAAGACATGTTTGACATTCAACAATAATAAATCACAACCTTGAAGGTTCTACTGTCTTTATGTTTTGTGAGTTGGAACAACAAGTTTAATGTACAATGTCATTTTGATTTGTAAGTTGGAGCAACAAGGTTATACTCTCATTTTGTTTTGTTAGTTGTAATGACATTATGCCTATGCCTGCATAATTAAATATGGAAGTACTTTTTGGAACAACTATTTTGTTTTGTAAGCAGAAACATTGTTTTCATTCAATTCAAATCCACCATGTTGTTAACATACCACATTACAATGTTGTTGACATAATTCATCATAATACAACATTCATTCTACATAATTAACACGTAATACAATACAACTATCAGCCCGCTTAGACAATGACAAGATAAACCCAAGAACAAATAAGTACTACAACTACAAAGGTCAACTTCTTCTTTGTGCTCTATAACTTTTTCTTCATATCTTCCAACTCCTTGGAACACTGTTTTGTCCCAAATTCTATTTCAAATTCCTTCCCAAAATCCCTTCCAAAATTTCTCAAATACTTTACCATGACATCACATTTATTACAACCATCATCATCTTCCTCAATTCTCTTCCGATCAATAAACTCAAAATACTCATCATTCCAATAAAATAACTGACAGTCTTCTTCTTTCCCCTAAAATCTGCACTTCCAATATTGAATAAGTGAAATCTTCAAATGTTAGAGAATATTTATTTTTTTTAAAAGAGAATTTTTTTAAATTTTGCCCAAATAACATATGGGTAATTTTTTTTTTTTTTTTTACGGTCAAAAGCTGAGAATTGGCTAAAAAAGAGAAAAAAGAAATATAATTTGATTTTAAATTTTCATTTCAGATAAGGTGAACCAAAGTGCGGTGGACATCGGGCATGGCTCTCCGCGTCAATTCCTTCTCTCTTTCTTCCGCTCTACCTGTAATGTTCTCATCATCCTCTCTTTGTTTTCGAATTGCGACTATTGAAATTGATACTAATCAAAACACATTAACTAATTTTTCTGCAGAAAATAGAGTCAAGAGTTGGAAATTATCGGAGCCCAAGCCTCAGTGTTAACTCGCAGGTACATATACAATAATTTGGAAATTCTTGAATTTTCGTTTCATACATGTTTAACTGAACTTTTTCATGCATTTGTTTGTAAGATGATGATCCAAATGCGAAAGGAGGGTGGTGGAAGAAGAATCTGGAGGCGAAGGAAAATGGTAAAATTTTTCATTTTGTGGTTTTCTTTTTATGCTTGCCTCTAACCTGTTTGTGTAAATTTCCCAAATAAATATTATAATGAAATGAATGATATAGCTCGTTATATGGCAACCTTACTTGTGTGTTTTGACAATTAGAAAAACATAATCAATATCAATTGTTTGATGGATGATGTTTAGAACTGTAGAAGTTGAGAAGGAAAGAAATTTAAGGATTATGAATTTACAATTAAAACTACTGGCTGTTACCAAATAGTTGCAAAATGGTTTCTAAATGGTAAATTAATAAAATAAACATGTATATAACATGAATTTAGAGTAAAGCATTTGAAGAACAAAGAACAAAAGTGTAAAAGCGTGAAGATTTTCATCAACATTGAAAAACTAAAGAACTGCAAAGAAGGCATAAATAAACTTGAAGAACTTAGAAGTAATTTGTAAAATGCTCGATCAAACTAAATGATGAAAGGATCGACGAATTAATTTAGAATTGGAATTTGAATACATTGCTGAAATTTTAAAGGAAAATAATTTTGGAGACATATTTGGCTTAGGAGAGCTTGAATCTGTTTCTAGTTTAAGAGTGAGTGGGCTTCATTAAGTGAATATTCAACCCCTATTACAAACTTCGAACAGGTATTTATAGAGAAAACATAAAAATAAGTGTCGACTTAGTGGTATGTCATGATCATGGAAGTTACTCCTATTCGAACTTTAAATGTTACTGCTAACTAGCTAGAGGTGTGAACCTTGGCATTACTGCTGTCTGCTCATCAGTCTTGTCTGCTTCAAGCTTTGAAATCTTTTGAAAGCTTGGATCAAATGCTGAAAGATTTTCTGGTTTTCCTATTCTTAATCATGTGGCAAATGCAATTTAAATTGTCTCTTACATTATGTTATAGCTTCGTGCTGTTCCATGTAAACATGTATGCGATGAAATGTTGCATGGGGAAGCATAGGAAACAAAACAAAAAGAACCAAGTACTGTTTAAACTGTGTGTAATCTTAAGGAAAAAGTTAAGTTTCACGATTCACAAGTGTCTCTAGTGATTCATTAAAGAAGAACACTGAGCAAAAAGGTAGCATAACAGGGAATGAGGAGGAGAAAAGCCAAGAGAGGATAAAAAGTCACAATGCACGCCCCTTTGTCCTTCTCACATCATTTGTATTCACATTTGAACCTTCTCGTTTTCCATATGCTTTCATGTCTTTGTTTTTGCATGATATCACGACCTTGCTTCCTTATCTTGCCGATTCTTTGCCATGTACATAAACTTTATGCTAGCAATTGCTGCTGCTGAGGTGTCTGTTACTATGAATATAATGATTTGCCAATCGGTAACTTCTTTCCTGCGATAAAGATAAGCCAGATTCAATTTTATTCTTATCTTTACTTCTTTTCTGCCATGCTTTTTTCTTTCTTTTCAATTTAACTTGACTGAATGAGAGCAGGTAATTGTGCTGGTGAATGATAGTGTCCATGATTTATGCTTTTGGCACATCATTCTCGAGTAACACACACAATGAACTTGAATGTTTAATCAGAAATTCATTTTGACGCAGACAAAAAAGGACGCATCTTTGCCCCACAGAATGGAGCGCACACCTTTTATGGAGGAACAAGTGAGGAAAATAAAGGATGAGGGAAAGCTCTTGCTAAGAGACATAGATAGGTTAATGTTATCAGAAGATAATAGGTATGATTTTGTGAATGAGATAGCAGCTGAGGCCAATGCTTGTGTTGAGAGCAACATGGATGAGTATGGAGGTGAGAAGAAAGCCTTACTTCATGCTTTTAGTAATCGAATGAATGAAGTTGGATCTTACCGTCCAGATGCGTACGCCGAGCCTGATCCCGGCAAACCTGGACCTCATTATAGAAGAGAGTTTTTTGCCTAAGTCTAGACAAAATTGTTAAGATGAGAGATATTGCACTAGGGATAAAATTTTCTTCTATGCTTCACTTATAGCACAATTGATGTCTTCATGTATTTCTAAATCAGCGGCTGTTGTCTGTATGCATGCAAATCAGAGTAATTAAAAGCACGTGGAAATCTAATTTCTTGTGTATGGAGAAATTAATGGAGACATTAAATTCCACATTCGTGTTTTGCAACGTGAATTTGTGGCTTCTTTTTCTGTTACACAAATTCATTTATATATATTTTAAGAAATAGTGTCGTAACACACCGTAACACAATTCATTTATATTTGTGTTTGAATTTGCGTCAAAATAGCAGCCCTCTTTTCAAAACGTTCTCTCATTTATTTCAATTGGGTGAGATTGTTAAACAACAAAAAATTATATTGACTCCACGGACATTTATATTTGATGAGATTAATCTAAAATTCAACTAATTATAGAGTGTGTTGCATGTAATTTGGATATAATAAACTATTAATATAATATGTAAAGTGTTACTCTCTCTAATTTAGTTTCTAAAATCTTAATATATTTAAAAATGGATATTTTGGATTGGATTGGAAAATATCTAGTGAACTGGTGAAGTCTTCGGTGGAAAGGTCACGACGATAAAAGTCTTTGGTGTTCGGAGTGGCAGGTGTGTCTATAAAATTAGTACTCTAAATAAAATGTATTGCGAGCGGGATCATTGGATGGTGGAAAGGTCACGACGATAAAAGTCTTTGGTGTTCGGAGTGATAGGTGTGTCTATAAAATTAGTACTCTAAATAAAATGTATTGCGAGCGGGATCATTGGATGGTGGAAAGGTCACGACGATAAAAGTCTTTGGTGTTCGGAGTGGCAAGTGTGTCTATAAAATTAGTACTCTAAATAAAATGTATTGCGAGCCGGATCAACCCCAACAATAGAGATAGAGCCATGCCTTGCTTTAATGTGAAGCTTCCTCGTGAGAGTGCATTGTTCATCAGCTTGTGAGTGGGCGTGTAATTGGATTGAACCTCAAACTTGAACCAATCTTATTAGGCTGTTTGGCCATCTCAAAACAGTTGGAAAGTCTCCAAGAGTAATTTCACCCAATCCAATTCTACTACTTCTTTAAGCTATGGCGTGACTCGTCCATTATGTAGCAAATCAATTGTACCATAATTGTCATTTTAACTTCCGACATTTATTTTTCAAACATATTTTGATTATTGTCTTCAAATCATTAATAAATTCATTTGATATTTTCAATCAACTCTTTAACTTTTCCCGATATTCATATATACGTGAGATTGAATCCTTGCACTCAATCATGCATTAACTGTGATATTGAAGACTTCCATACATTCATCAAGTCATTTTTGTCTACCTTTGACATTAATATGTTCACATTGCATTTACATGAAAACATTCATTCATCCCTCCTATAATATTTTAAATCAAAACTTATTTTAAAAAAAGTGACATTGTATCTTTACACACATTCATTTGAACTTTAATGATTTATCTTCATACTATTTATTTTCATATTTCAATCCCCTACATTCCATAACTTTTGGATCTTCAATTAAACTTATAGACAATTAAAAAAAAATCAGTTTTTAGTTACCTATGTACCCATGCAATAAATGTGTATGCATAATATCAAAACACATACACCGAACTTTGTATCGTGTCACTACATATTCCAATATATAATTTTTCATTTATAATGCACACATATGTTTTAATTCTAACAAGTTTATATATATATATATATATATATATATATATATATATATATATATATATATATATATATATATATATATATATATATATATATATATATATATATATATATATATATATATATATATATATATATATATATATATATATATATATATATATATATATATATATATATATATATATATATATATATATATATATATATATAAAATGTTTTTATCATACTGGTTTGTTGGATGGTGAAATTTTTAAAGTGAGCCTGAGAGTAAATAAGAAGTTAAAATATGAAATATTCAAATGAGATTTATATGAAATGTAAAAGGTTTTTTTTAAACAGAATTTAAAAAAAAACTAACTTTTTAGAAGATGAAAAGATAGAGTATAATAAATTAATGATATTTAATTGATTTTTATAATTTATTAACAAATATGCATATTTTCAGGCACGGGTATCATCAAACCTGTATTTGTATCTATTAAAAAATAATATTTAAATATTCATTTATTTTATCTGCTGATATCCATTATGTTACATGCTCCGTATCAGTGACAAATATTATCTTCATATATTCGCATGTACGCATTTTTTTGTCATTCATAACCCTGGTCTTTACTAGTCTTGACTAGCCTTACTCTAGGATTTCTGTTGCAATTGTTGAGGATCGGGATTGGTCCCCTCTTCCTACTACAAAAAAGGGATCAAGACCAAAATCAAGATCCTCTCTTGGAGGAAGATTTGAGTAAATAGACTCGACTATATGAGGGTGTCACTTTTGGTTCGTCCACTTCGTAGAGCGGTGAAGATGAATCTTCTCTTAAAAGCCATTTTTAACACTTATCAGACTGCTTCTTTTTCTCCTTAGCTGCTATTGACCGAGGGGATGTTTTGTCCATGGGTAATATTTCCAAAGAGGGGGATACCAGGAAAGGTAATTGCGAAATTATGAAGCAAAAATGGTCCAAGCTTCAACCAAAAGTGTTAGTCCTATAAGAGAAAGCTAGTGATTCCGAGTTTCTTCAGGAGAAGGCAAAAATCCATGGGTCTTCTTCTTTTTTAGCTACTAGGACCACTGAGCTCGAGTTCTCCTTAGAGACGAAGAATAAGTCTCAAATGGATATTATCACTATTGTGGAGGAGAAAAAGTCTCGTGCTGGCGAGGTTTTGAGATCCCTTTTTGAAAAAATAAGGAATCTCGAGCTATGAATCGCGAGACTTACGAGGATCGGGTGGTTGGACTGAGGAAGGAGGTCAGTGAGTCCTTTCATCAAACATTCAAGAGAGTGTATAAAGTCTTTAACCAAGCGGCTTACAAGGTGGTGACCCTTCGCCCATACATATCTATCCCACAATCACAACTTGACCTGTTCAAAGTTGTTCAATATGAGGTCTTGGTGGAGGATGTCGATGCAACATCTCAAAATGGAGAGACTTAGTTTGTTTTTAATTATGATATAAACAAGTTATTATTCTCTTATTTCCTTGATACTTGTACAGACAATGCTATTTATTATGGGTCAACCATATCTCCATCGGACCGACCACCTTCAGACAGGCTGCTCCGGGATGAGACTTATCAACCGACCATAAAGTCATGCTTACGAAATCTTCACTTTATTGCAAGACTACCATGCGCCTCGCTGTAGGAAATTTTCATCTTAAACACATCCGACGCTCCTCTGAATTTTATGGGTAAAAGATAGCAAAATTGTTATCCTTCTCCATATATATATATATATATATATATATATATATATATATATATATATATATATATATATATATATATATATATATATATATATATATATATATATATATATATATATATATATATATATATATATATATATATATATATATATATATATATATATATATATATATATATATATATATATATATATATATATATATATATATATATATATATATATATATATATATATATATATATATATATATATATATATATATATATATATATATATATATATATATATATATATATATATATATAGGTGACAAGTTTCAAATACAATTTAAATACTCTCTACTATTTCATATATTAACATTAGCATCAGAGTTCTAACCTTACAAGTGCACCCCCACTCTGCCACATTGGAAGCCTTACTTCGCCGCAACTTTACATCTATCTCAACTTCTGGTTCTAGAACGGAATAATATTTATCTAATTACTATTCTAATTTTGATGTTTGCTTTGTACATGATGAAATTTATTCAATATTCTTCATGGTCTTATTGCTTTATTGTATGGGCCATTCTTGACTTGATTTCTCAGCTTTGAACCAACTTGTGGTTCTCGCTTCTTCCGTGATTGAAGCTAACATGATCTTTTAAGCTTGTTATCGCTTTTCCCTCTAGTAAGATTCATTGTGTTTTCTAAATTTGTGATCATGACTGATGTGAGTCAGAGTAATGATCGAGGAGAGTTGATACAAATCTACATCATTACTAAGAATAATCATCGACCAATGGTAGGTTTCTCGTCCCTTCCCCTCAGGTTTTGTCTTGGTTTGGGGTGGACATCTCCAGAACTCCACCTCCTATATTCTTAGAATGGATAGTTCATAAAAAGGGCCAACTGCGATTCAAACGTATTCCGCCTAATGGTATTGTGTTTCATAAACATAATATATGCCATATTCTCGAAGGGTATAATAGTATTCATATGTACAACATTTATTTTATACCATAGATTTATTTACATACCTTCAAAAACTTATCTTATGCGCCTAGGGCCTCAACATGTTTTCTTGTACAATCGATCTTAGGAAGTCTGCATCCAGGCATCTAGGATTGATTTTATATTTGAAATGATACAAGTTCAGGCATACCTCTAGCGTTTTACCTACCCCTCATATACATGCTTTATCCACTATCTATTGGCTTGTTGTATCCGCCTTCTTCAATTAAAGGGGTATAATAATGTATTGGCATCTAACTTGTTTGATCACTGATGATGTTTCCTTCATATAAGATCTGATCCTAACTATTTGGCCATACTCGGGGGTAACACTCATGAATGGTGACAACTTGACTGAGCTGATTACCCATTTATTTATGCCAAGACAGGTATCAGAGTCTACTGGGCACGCTCAAATTGAGGTCAATACAATTGACACACACACACATCATTATCTTTCAGAAGATTCTTAACTAGTGTGATGTCATATAGCCATTTCGTATATCTTACGGCATTGGTAAAATTGATTTCCAACACTCTTTCGACTGCGCTA